CTTCTACAGTAAAGGCACATGAAAATCCACCTTAGGTCATCTGGCTTGCACCAAGCTCCTTTACCCACTGAGCAATCTCACTGTGTCCAAAGAATAATTTTTAGGGGTTGAAGTGATGGCTTCATGGTTCACATCCTAGCATTCATTTTTGGTGGCTCACAACAATCTGTAACTCCAAGGGCTCTCATACCTTCTCTTGGCTTCCCGGAGCACTGCACTCACATCTACATAACCACGCAGAGGTAGATACAAACATATATTAATTTTAAGTAAAATAAATAAAAAGAATAATTTTAAAATAAAAATATGTTACACAAAGAAGTATTAATTCATGAAAACGAATAATTGGGGTTCACATAAGATATAGTGTGAAACAGGACTAGATATTGCTTCCATATAACACACACACACACACACACACACACACACACCATTTAGTTTTACTTCTCACAGAAAGAGAGAAGAAATGTGCAGCTGCAATAATAGGAGGAAAGGAAGCAGAGATACTTTAGAAAAGATAATTGGGGCGCTTGAGGGGCCTAGCTATCAAGTGAAGAAGACACAGCTTCATCGCAGTCAGGAACACGGGCTTGCTTGTGGGGTCCTCTACATTGCCTGCCAGGGAGAGAGGAGTAAGAGAGACTGTGGGCATGCATGGGATAGAAAAAGGAAAGATGAGCTTCTGGAGGCAGAGTTGGCAGCACTGTGCCATGGAGGACAGGGTCCATGGACTGCAATGAGAACAACACATAGAATGCTGTGGTGTTTGGTATCTGGGGATAGAGCAAGGGAGTGAATGAGTCCTGTTTCTTGAGTTCTGTGTAGCTCACCAAGTAGCTGGTTGGATGGAAAAGGCCTAGGAGCAAACTTCTCATACTCTTAGGTTCCTGGTGTTTACAATGCCACACGCAGGGTGGTGGCTTGGGAAGTACAACTGAACGGTTAATCTGTTAACTTATTACTATGTTGTAAGTTTTCACTATATATCAAAATGGATTGCCTAGAGGATATTAGAGATTACACAGTACAAAAGCATATGGACGACCATTACAAATCCACATTTAAGAAGATACCAACTCTCTATCATATTGTAGCCTTAATTTCTTCCAAACCTGCAGCAGAAGTCGGAGCTCATCCTGATGCTGCTGCACTTCTGAATAATCACATACAAGAAAAGATGGATAACACAAAAGATGCTTGACCAAAGACAAATATTCAAAGGATTGGGATAGGTGGCTTGAAAACTCAGAGTGTGAATTAAAAGACCAAGCAATTGATTTACACTGAACATTTTTAGTCTCTTCTTTTGATCATTTTATAGATTCCATGTGGTGTGTGGAGGCAGCAAGGTGTGGAGCTGCTAGGAGCAGACTGATAAGCCCTCCCTAGGGGCTCAGTACAGGAAGGTGGAAGAAGATGGAAGTGGACTAGAGTAAGGATAAGTCAAAAGGAGATATCCGTTGGGGTGTTGCAAATTGTAAAGATTTTAGTGAGACAGCTTGTACAAAAAGAAGAAGACTAGATCAAGAAATATATCTTTCTGGGCTATGTAGATTTTCTTTTCTTTTTTCCTACTGAATAACTTATTTTTTTATTTGTTTGCATGTATGTGTGTCTTTTTGAGTATAGAAGTGTTGGGTCCCTTGTAGCTTTCTGGGCTATGTAGATTTTCTTTTCT